TTTAAATCTTACTGGGTTTTTCCCGCTATTATTCATTGCAGCCATCTTTTTATACGTAATTCTATATTAATATACAGAGAGCGTTGTGATCAATCTTTTCGGATTCACAACAATACACATGTTATATCAGACATGACATTTGTGTGCAGTTACATGGAAAGAACTTGTCTTTGAATTGGAAACCGGAGTTTATATAATAATAAATACCTGTCAAATGTCAAATGTCAAGATAAAAATCATAACCTTTAGTTACTAGTGGTTTTGAGTTAATTTTTGAATTATAAATGAAATAATTTATAAAAAAAGGTAATTATAGTAATTAATTTTATGTTCTTATCAATTTTCGTTTTTTTACAAATTTTTATTTTTATATTTTTCAGAAAATAAAAACTGAATTTCCAATTTATTAATTATAAGAAATTAAATTTTATAATTTTTAAATTTATTTTAGTTTCTAAAAATGAATAAAAATTTATTTTCAATGCTAATTGATAAAAAGAAACCTTAAAAAAATTTTTTTAATTTTGTACATTTTAAAAACTGAATTTCCACTTAATAAGTTTAAAAAATTAAATTCTGTCTGAATTTTTTAAAGTTATCATTTAAATTTATTTTAATTTTTAAAAATCTAATAAAAATTATTTTTTAGCGTCAATTGAAGAAAAAAAAACCCAAAAAATGATTGGAACAACAAATCTGACAGATTTACAAAAATTGGAGGAAGAAGCAAAAGCAACAGCAACTAAGCACGTGATGAATATGCTCCAGCGTCCAGGTCAGCTAGAAAAAGTCGAGCAGTACAAGCGCAGAATCACCAGAAAGAAAGCTTCAGTAGAAACAATGCTGAAAACAGCGATGCAGAGCCAGTTGGACGGTGTAAGAGTGGGCTTTGACCAGCTGCAGACTTCCTTGTCAACCATCGCGTCCATCAAAGACGAAGTAGACCTGATAGGTCAATCCTTCGGTTCAGCACTGGAGTTGAACACGAAGCTCCAACCAGTTCAGGAAGAAAACATGCGACACTCTCAGTACGTGACAGCAAAGGAGAATCTGAAGCACATTTTCACGGTACCAGAGTCTGTGGAAAAGACCAAGACATGGATCAACGAAGGCAAGCTGCTCCATGCCCACCAGAGTCTGATGGACCTGGAGAATTCGAGGGACGACTTGTTGTACGAGTTACACAAGCTGCCGAATCAGTCGCTGCCGGACAAAGTGATGCTCAAGGCCTACTTTGAGGATGTCGAGACCCTGTCACAGCTGATGGAGAAGCAGATCAAGCTGGTGCTGAGTCGTACTCTGAACACTGTGCGGAAAGAACCGACGGTTATCGTCACCGCACTTCGGATAATCGAGCGGGAGGAGAAAGCTGATCAATTCGCGGTCCAGAGGTTCCGACAGTCCGGCTTCATGCCTCCAGGAAGACCCAAGAAGTGGAAGGATATGGCGATGCAGACTCTCGAGAAGTCTGTAGCTAATCGCATCGAGGGCACCCAGGTTGATGAACGCGCAGATAATAAAATGTGGCTTGTTCGATACCTGGAATTGACTCGCCAGTTGATCCAGGAGGATTTGAGGGTTGTAAAAACACTTTGCGGGCCTTGTTTTCCGCCGTACTATGACATTGTAAATAAATTTGTTAGGATGTACCACGGATGTCTTTCTCAGCACTTGAAAGATATTATTGCCAATGGATTAGAGGGCAATGAGTACGTGTCTCTTCTCGGGTGGATCATGAACACCTATCCGGGCGCTGATTTGATGTTGCACCCGGAGTTGAATATAAATATTTCAGAGATCGGTGATCTGCTGAGCAAGGAGATTCTTGATGAACTTCAAGAGAAGTATCTTAGGAACATGTGTCAGAATTATGAAGAGTGGATGAAGAAGACTCTGGAGACTGAGAAAGCTGACTGGTGGAGTGGCAAAGCACCAGAGTCTTCTTCTCAGGATACTTATTATCACACAGCGGCTCCGGTTATTATTTTTCAAATGATAGACCAGAATTTACAGGTAAATTTTGAGAGTAATTTAGGGGTTTTACGCACTTAGGAGAAAAAAGGGATTTTTTAATAATTTTTTCTGAAAAGACTTCTTGAGTGAGTAAGATGAAAATTGATATATTTTTAGTAGTGACTTTTAACTTTAATTATCAGTTCTTTTTTTTTTTACAAATAATGATTTTCATAGCTCATTAAAGTTATTACAAATCATCAAAATAAAAACTAATGTAGTATAGATTCTGTTTTTGTCAAAAAGTCAATACGAAATGATAAAATCTTGAAAATCTTGGTTAAATATTAAGGGGGAACACCACTGTGACGATCAAATAAAAAAAAGGTGATTTTCGGGAATTTTTTTGACAGAGAAAATAAAGGAATTTGGGGATCGGATTTTTTTTATTTTATTAAGGGTACATTAAAGATTATTACCCTAAATTTTTATTAAAAAATATTTAATTATTACAAAGTTATTAACAATCTCGTAGCGCACTAGAAAAAATTTCCCCCTCCATGGTCAGTTCGATAACTCAAAAACAGATCATCTGAAAATAAAAACTCAAATTGCTTTTTAATCAGTAAGAATATAGTTATTGTCGCACGTACATAATTTAAAAAATTTTCATTTTAAAGATTTTTTTAGCCGGGTTAAAACAAAAAAAAAAACAGTAAGAATAGTCAGAAAATTTTCAATCAGTCGCCATTGTTTTTAAATCTAAATTTTCAAAATTTCGTACGTGCGACGATAACTACATCCTTACTGATTAAAAAGCAATTTGATGCTTTTTAATCAGTAAGAATATAGTTATTGTCGCACGTACATAATTTAAAAAATTTTTATTTTAAAGATTTTTTTAGCCGGGTTAAAACAACAGTAAGAATAGTCAGAAAATTTTCAATCAGTCGCCATTGTTTTTAAATCTAAATTTTCAAAATTTCGTACGTGCGTCGATAACTACATCCGTACTGATTAAAAAGCAATTTGAATTTTTATTTTCAGATGATCCGTTTTTGAGCTATCGAACCGACCATGGAGGGGGAAATTTTTTCTAGTGCTCTACGAGATTGTTAATAACTTTGTAATGATTAAATATTTTTCAATGAAAATTCAAGGTAATAATCTTTAATGTACCCTAAATAAAATTTAAAAAATCCGATCCCCAAATTCCTTTATTTTACCTGTCAAAAAAATTCTCGAAAATCACCTCTTTTTTTACGATCGTCACAGTGGTGTTTCCCCTTAAAGATACGAAAAAATCATGAGACTTTTTTTTATAGGAAATTTAATACTCTCCCAAAAAAATTTTATCAATTTCCATCTACCTTTTATCATTTAGTCGGAATTTCAATTTTAAATTGGATTTCAAGCGTCTCCGATTAGATCACGTGTATAGAAAGTTCGAAATTTAAGTTCTGGTTTAAATACTAAAGATACGGAAAAATAATGTTAATATGAGACCTTTATTGTATGAAATTTTATTTTATAGAAATAAGGTTTTTATCAGTTTTCCCGAATTTTTAATTTTTCAGTCGGAATTTGAACTGAAACTGATATTTTCAGTTTATAAGTATCAATTTGAAAATATTTGTCCGATTGTCATTAAATTTACTGTGCACTTAAAGGTATCTAAATTAAAAAATGAAATTAAAAAAAAATTTATCCCCAAAATTCTAAGCGCGTATAGTTTCCTTCGTATAGTGATTACTGACTCGGTTGTATTCAAATACATAATTAAATTTTTCTACAGGTCACCAAAACGATAAGCAACGAACTTACAGCGAAGGCATTGGTGGTCTGTATCGAACAAGTCAACAAATACGGTTTGATGTATCGACAAGCTATAATGGAATTTAAAGCGAAACATTTCGACGACCGGAGCCAAGTGCCTTACTTTACCCATCACATGATCACGGTGGTGAACAATTGTCTTCAATATGTCGAGCTGGCGCAGCAGATGAAGCAGCTTTACTGGGTGACCAACGCTACCAGTGACGCAGCGGTAAAGTTTGAAAATCTATTAGCAAATTACCAGCAGCTGCGTAACGAAGCGGTAGCTATCCTGCTAGAAGAGTCTCTTCTGGATCTCGAAACCAAGTTCCAAGATTTGCTGACCCCAAAGTGGCTCAACACCTCTATCGCGGTAGAAACTATCTGCGTCACTCTCGAGGATTATTTCCAGGACTACGGACACCTGAGGGTGAAAAATTTTGAGTACGTGATAAATGAAGCTCAAAATTTAATCGCGAAAAGATATATCGCGGCGATGCTGTCTAGAAAAATCTCTCTGAAAAATTATGACGAGTGTCTGACGTGTACTTCTAAGATAATGAGCGAAGCGGACAAGCTGAAGAATTTCTTTGTACGCATTGCGCCCAAGGTCGGTAACTTTGACTCCCCTTTTGAGATTATTAAGAGACTCGCGGAGGTTCTTAGGTGCGAGGACGCCGAAATTTTGACTCTGGATCTCCATTCATTGGTGGAAAAGTATCCGGATATGACTGACGATCATTTGGTTAGATTACTGAGTCTCAGGGGAGATATTCCTAGGAGTGAAGCCAAAGAAAAGGTCGCTTATATCCTAGAGGCGCAGAAAAATAGAACATCTTCTTCACAAAGTATAAGCAACAGTATTTTTAAACAAATTGTACTCCAGGATAGTTTTCTGAGCTGGAAACCTTAGAGTGTTTATTTAGTTTTTTTTTGTTAATAAAATGCAATTAATTGTTTTAATAACCAATTAAGGCCTTTCTGAAAAAATGTATCAATAATTGTTGTATATATATATATATGAATATTAATCTTGATTATTTAATTAATCAATTAATTTATTTTTCAACACGTATTAATTTATAACGCTGAAATTAAAATATCTGGTAAATTTTGATAATTTTTTTTAATAAATAAAATATTTTTTTAATTATAAATTAAATTTTTTTAAAGAGTAATTTGTTTGAAAAAAAAAATTGTCAAATTTTAGTCTAATATTAAAAATATAGGATACAGAAATTGAGACATCTGATAATTTTTTTAACAAATAAATTAGAACACACAAAAATTATTCAAAAAATTCCATCTTTAGAAGCTCTAAAAAAATGATAAATGCAATTTTTTCAATATAATTTTCTAGAACTAGTTTATTTTTCAAAAAAAATAAAAATTTGTCAGATGTCTGCTAATTTCATATCATAAAAATATAACAGATATAAAATAGATAAAAAGAATTCAAATCAAATTTCGCGCGCTAAAATTATGTCACTGCGCAGCAATGTTGCACAGGTGTCACAGCATTTCTGTGTGTAAGTCGGCCATATTGTAACGTACTTTCCTTCCATCGGCACCATGGAACGCTACTCGAACAACGCTCCGTAAAAACTTGCAAATTTTTGAGACAAAAACATAAATATAGATAAAAATAGATTGCATGTGTATGTTTTTTGTACAAAAAGTCAAAAACCGAGTAATTTTATAAATATTTATTGCTTAATTACGGTAAATTGAGATAAGAACATGGCGTCTACGAGACGGTTAGCGTTGTCAGTAGGAAAATTTTTTAATAATCAAATAAAACGAAACTTAACCTCAAATGTTGCTGTTGCTGAACAAATAGAAGAAACTAATAAAGGTAGCGATTAATTGAAATTTTTTTGATTGAATTAATCTGAGTAACGAATAATTGGTTGGATTATTTTTAGGAAAAATAGTGGTGAAGAAAACAGGCCCAATCACCTTTTTCGGAATAAACAATCAGAAAAAAAAGAATTGTTTGGACCGAGCAGCAGCTGAAGAACTGTCAGATGCTCTGGTCTCATTCGAGCAAGATGATGACTCGCAAGTGGGTATAATCCATGGTATAGGCGGTAATTTTTGCTCGGGGTTCGATTTAGAAGAGATTTCAAAATGCGAGAGTGAAACTGACAATCTTCCGCATTTTGGGACACTGGTAATTATTTTTATTAATTTTCATAGTTTTATTTTTTATCTATATATATATATACATAAATTGCTGTGCGTTAGTCTCGCTAAAGCTCAAAAACGGCTGGACCGATTTTCAAAATTTATTTTTTTGTTCGCTACAGTTCAGAGATGATTCAGAAAAAAAATTTTTTTGGAAAACCCGACAGTTCAGCTAAAAAAATCATTATCATCAATCATCATCAAATAATAAAAAAATATAAATATAAATTGCTGTGCGTTAGTCTCGCTAAAACTCAAAAACGGGTGGACCGATTAAAAAAATTTTTTTTCTGTTTTGTTCGCTATAGTTCAGGGATGATTAAAAAAAAAACATTTTTGGAAAACCCGTAAGTTCAACCAAGGAAATCTACAGATTAAAAATTGTTAATCGTCTATCTTCTGTATATATGGACAAAAAAAATTTCATAAATTCAGTGTTGATTTTTTGGGTTGTTTGGTGTTGTTCATTTAGCACTACCCGGAGAGCACGTGTAGGGTGTAAAAGCAGAACCTACGGACGCGAACAACGCTACCCTCCGTGTGTGTGTGTGTGTGTGTGTGTGTGTGTGTGTGTGTGTGTGTGTGTGTGTGTATCTGTGTGTGTGAACCGTTTATAACTTTTGAACGACTCAACCGATCAGAACCTACCAAATAGCGTTCTGACGAGTTCATTTAAACTTAGATTTCCTGTGAATTTGAACCGGTTCAGACCGATAGATTTTGAGAAATCTCAAAAAAACTAAGAAAACAATTTTTTTTAAGGTGGTTTTTTTGGAAGAACTTTTAAACGGCTTTATCGATCAACTCCAAAAACTAATCAACTCTTAACCTTAAAAAACCACGCCGATCGCCGCTAATCTGCTCAAAATCGGTTAATTCGTCGAGAAATATCGTGAGCGAAAGAAAACCGAAAAAAGTGTTTTTGCAGAATTACTCCTAAATTCCTCGATCGATCAATTTAAACTTGAAGATTCTTTATGAAGCTTAGAAAACTGCGTTTAATGCCGCCAACCGCATTATAATCGGTTCATTGATTCAAAAGTTATTTCTGTTTGAAAATTCAAAAAATAGTAAAAATCTAAAAAAAATTAGGAAAACGGTTGACCCTGAAAGCCATTCCTGCAACTTCCCCCTAATTCTATACCTCGGCGCTTAAAATTGCACTTATGACGTTTTGAGCTCGAAAAGCTGATAGAAGTTTGATGAAACACTATTTTTTGAATTTTCAAACCGCAATAACTTTGGAATGAATGAACCGATTTTCACGCGGTTGACGGCATTCGACGCAATTTTTTAAGCCTCATGAAGAATCTTCAAGTTTGAATTGATCAAACTAGGAATTTCGGAGTAATTCCGAAAAAACACTTTTTCGGTTTTCTTTCGACAACGATAACTTACGAATGAATCAACCGATTTTAACCGGATTCGCGGCGATCGACGTGGTTTTTGGAGGTTAAGAGCTGATTAGTTTTTGGAATTGACCGGTAAAGCTGTTTAAAAGTTATTCCAATAAAACCACATATGAAGAAAAGTTTTTTTGTAGTTTCTTAGAGATTTCCTAAAATCTACTGGTCTGAATTGGTCTAAATTGTCTCAAAAATCTAAGTTTGGTCAAGCCCTTACGAACGACGCCAACCGCGATCGAATCGGTCAAGCCGTTCAAAAGTTTTGAGAGGGTACCATACACCCACACACACATACATACATACGGATATAGAGACATCCTCAAAAAAATGGTCGGAATTGCTTTCTAGGACCTCAAAACGTGGAGAACTAATGGAAACTCGATTTTCGAAAATCGGAGTGAGACCATAACTTCCCAATTTTTGAAAATTTTTAATTCTTTTGGCGGGAAGATAAAAATTTTTAACGAATAAGTTAACAATAAGTTAAGCAACTTATTGCATAATACATACATATTGTTCTTAATATCGGCAATTTGGGGTCTCAAGCTGATGGTTTTAATCATATTTCCTCTCAAGGCGACATACGTTTCGCCATTGACATGTTTAGGTGGATCGCAATTAAAAAAGTCCTTAGGAAGACCCACCAGCGCTTGATCGATGGATGATAAGTATTGGCTGGATATTAGTACGAGCTGATCTCGTAATTTGTAAACTTCATTTTCGAAAGTTGCTGCAATAATTAGATGAGAAGGTTAAGGACTTGTCTAATGACAGTACGAAAATACAAAAGAAACTTACAATTTTCATAAATAGTAAGCAAACCATATGAGTAAGTTGACATTGTAAAACCTTTTATTTCCGTCAGGATAACTGTTTCGTACAGATCGTATAGTTGTTGCTGAGTTGACTTTATCATTCCATACTGTTCAGGTTCGGTTATATCCTGAATTATTAGAAAGTTATGACTTATACTCATTGATCTACAACTTACGGTTAGTAATTCAAGATTTATGTTCTATGATTGAGAATCTAAGATTAATAATCTATGATCTATGATTCATACTATATGATTTATGATCCATAATTTATTATTTATGATCTATGAATCATGATCTATGTGTTATAACGTTATGAGTATTGATCTGCGATCTGTAAAGTATATTCTATGATCTATACCATATGATTGATGATTAACGGTCTATAATTTACTATCCGTATTCTATGATCTGACTGGTAATTTATGATCGATGCTCCATGATCTATGATTCATGAACAACAAAACGCATAAACCTACCTTTAAAGTGGCAACCATAGCATCAAGAAGACTCTCTTCTCTCTGATCCAGCTGGCCAGGAATGAACATATGGTACGTTTGCCTCAATAGGTCTTAAAGATCTCCAAATCTATGAGAAGTCATGACCCTATTAAAGTCCTCAATAGTGTATCGGTTGAATTTACTTTTCTGATGAACGTAGTACTGGTAGTCTTCATACAATTCATCGATTCTGGTAACGTACTCAATAAATTTTCTCATGAGATTTGCGAACTTCATCGTCCGAGGAACGTCGGTCAGTACCGCAGTCATTAGATTGTCCATCTTCACATTCATAGTTTTCGTTAGCTCGTCGACTTTTTCTGACAGTTGCGTAACTTTCTCGAGTGTGGACACGAGAATATTTATGCACAATGCAACTAACATTAAAGTGAAGCATATAAAACCGGTAATACTGACAGAAGAAAGTTTATTGTTTAAATTAGAAGACTTAAAATACATTTCTCAACTTATTAAAGTTGGTGAATTTTTGTGCAAAAGACCAAATTTATTAAAACAAATTTGGTAATTATGATTCTATTACAGTTAATTAAGTAGAAATAAGAATTTTTGTTGAAATAAATTGTAAAAATCAAAAAATAAAACCTGCAAATATAAAAGAACTCGAGTATGAAACAAAATTTAATTTACCCTTTATGATGATGGATTTAATAGAATAAAAATTACATTTTATAATTTACAAGCTTATACATATATATATGCATGGATGTCATAATTGATGAGTTTTAATATCTACCAAGTTCAATTTACAATTAAATTTAATATTCGTAAACGTAGTCGATCGCAACTTTTTCACTTTTGTACACAGCGGAAAACTCTACATTCTATAAAATTTTGTTGTATACTTCTTATATAATTATATATATTTATAGATAGTTTTATAAAATTATATATAATTATATGTAACGACTGCAAATACGTAGATGACAATAAGATAACATTATATATAAATATGTATAAATTTATATATTTATGTTAAATTATACATAATTATATAAAATTTGATATAATTATACAAAATTATATATAATTTTATATAATGAAATAAAATATATTTTATTTCATTATATAAAATTATATATAATTTTGTATAATTATATCAAATTATACATAATTTTATATAATTATATCAAATTATATATATTTATACAAAATAATATATATAATATTATACATAACTATATAAAACTATATAGATTTATATGAAATTAGATCAAATTATATATAATTAGATATAATTTTATATAATTATATATAATTTTTTTTTCCCGGGACAGAAAAAAACTTAACTTGAATCAAGAAAATAATTTTGAAAAATATAACTTTCTTGATTTGAGTAAAAAAATTCTCAAACTTAAAAATTTTTTTTTCAGTGTATGCTTACATATATGTCTACATATATGTAAGCATGTATCTCTGCATATATGTCAGCATCTATGTGAAAAATATATGTTGACATATTTTTTTTTTGCGTAAATATATGCGACATATAGGGGAGGGGGGGCAAAATGGGGTACTTAAGCAATCGTTATGATTTTAAGGACTTGAATACGCTGATTTTTCTCGTTTTCAGTCGTAATTAAAGGAAAATAATCAAATTTCAAGTTACCGTCGAAAAAAATTTTTTTTTTGCGGGCAAAATGGGGTACTCCCTGAAAGAGTGAAAAAAAAATTTCTTCATCCGAAAATAAAATATCGTTAAAAAATTTTCTTATCGATAAGTCTACGAAAGAACCCAAAGAGAGGAACAAATCACCCAAAAAAGAGACATTGTTAGTTGAAGCAATATATTCCTAACAAAAATTGAGGTAGTAAAAAAAATTTTAAAACTTTGTCGTAATTTTTGACGGGTTTCGCTTGAGTAAAAATAATATCAAGATAAAAAAAAAAAAGAGTTCTCTTGAGAAAATTCTAGTATTTGGAACTCCCGATGAAAAAAATTTTAGACTCATAGTTCTCACGCAATTCAAAGTAATAGCACGAAAAAAAAGATTCGTAATTTTTTTTGCACTCTCTTTCTTGGTTTAGGGATTCAGGAAAATTTTTTCAAGTTGAATAATCTTATAGGCCTGAAGATTTTACTTTTTAAATTAAATACCTCACAAGCGCACCAAATGATTTTGAAACAATTGGCGGCCTCTGACTCAGTTTTCTGAGCACTTATAGTTAAATTATGTCATCAAAAATAATTCGAGAAAACCGGTGACGTTAGCCGAGTCGTCGAAGGTGCATGGCCTATAGAGAACTCGGACTAACTTACCGGCCAGGCGTGGGTTCGAATCCCAAGCGGGTCTTAGAACCCAACTTGGTTGATATTCGGCCCTTGCCGTGTAGGTTAAGATTTACACAACCCAAAAAGACCCCAACATACCACTCCCAACAGTTCAAGTCGGCGATATGACCATAGCAGTTAAAACCGACTCTAAATAATAATTAATAAAAAAAAAAAAA